CCTAAGTTGTAATATAATGGGCCATTAGGGTTTTGTAATTGGGTCTGGGCTTAGATCTGTTTGGGCTCAGGTTTGGGTTTCTGCTTGGGTCGGTTGGCTTTGTAATTGGGGCTCGATTTGGGCTTGTAAAAAAATCCTATAAAATAATATTAATAAAAAAAATTAAAAAATTAAAGATTAAAATTATAATTTAAAATTATAATTATATAATAATAATAATAATAATTAAATTATCCAACGAAAATGAATGTCTACAATAAACATAGAAGAGATTTAGAATTTTGTCTCCACAATTGTAGCATTTTCTTTCTTCTTAGTTTAGTTAAACAAGATCCTTTATTTAAAAATTTAATTTGCTCAACTGAAAAGGGGGAAAATAGATAAAAATGTATTTTTAGGTATATTATATATTTAGTACTTAAACTATCAGTTCGATTTATCTTAGTGACTAAACTTTTAAAAAATTTCAAAACCATATCTAATATTTAATTTTTGTTTCATTTTAGTATCCCGTTAAAAACTTAATGTTGAGTATTGAAAAAAATTAAAAGTTTAGGTACTAAAGCAGACCAAAACTGATAGTTAAGGTATTAAACGCATTAAGTTTTTAACGATGGGTAATAAAATGAAACAAAAACTAAATATTAGATATGATTTTGAAAAATTTAAAACTTTAGGTACTAAACTCGTAGTTTACCCTATATTCTTACAAGAGCACAATTGACTCAATGATTCTGCTGTTGAGAATGTACACTGACAAAAAGCAAAGCTTATAACTAAGTTTTTGAACACATGGTGGAGTTTCCAAGAGAAGCTCTGCAACAAGTTATTTAGAGTAGTGGTATTGCAAGCCTACATTTTTAGAACAACCCCAAAATTTTGCATTAAACACCAAGTTTTGTTTTTTCTTCAATTGAAATTGAACCTTTTTTTGTTTTTCATTGAGTTCTGAAGGTTTCATTAGCGTCTTCTTGCAGCAGTTTCTCTTCGTGCATTGAAATAAACAGCGGCAACAGGGAGTCCAAGATCGTTCTCAGCAGCAAAATCCCGGGTGCTAAAATAATCTCTTGAAGAAGGCGACCTGATTATCAGTCGACGTTTCTGCTTGAATAGAACGAAGACAAACCTGTGGATTCCTATATCTGGCCTTGGAATCTCATACCCTACAACTTCCCTTCCTGTTTGATATAATTCCCCAATGACCAAAAAGAAAAGAGATCAGTATCTTTTTTGTCTTATATCACTCATAAATATTCCAAGAGGTACTTAATTACACTGACAAACCTACCAAACATAGCATCTGTTGTGCCTGGAATGTCATTCACAATCCTGTTAAATGGTCCAAATCAAATGAATCCGTCAGCTCTTTCTCTATTTTGCCAGGTTTTCAAGTGCTCTTATTTTCTACTTTATCTGTTTGTTTCTTTGCTAATAACTAACACTTCCTTATCTTATCACACATGCAGACTTGATTATTACAGAGTTGAAGAAGTAATGAACATTAATTTTGTCTCAACTCTTTTTTTTTTGTTAGTCTCATAGGATTACAATACAGTGTCTGTTGAAAAAACTTAACAATTTAATAATAAATACTCAAATATTTCTGTAAGAGTTATTCTTAAACCAAGACTTTTAGGGATAAAAATTGTCCTTTAAACCATTGAGATTTCAACTCTTAAATAGTAGTAACTGATTAGAATATTAAAGATATGACATGACAATAAGATTATGGTTGTTGTTTTAATTATTATATAATATATCAAAGCTTTGCTTTTCAATACTAGTTTGCGTCCCCACAAGCCTGAGAACGTGATCGTGGAAGAGAGTTGGAAAAAAAATAATGGATTTAGCCACTTTGGTAACCTCTCCCAATTTACATTAAGCTATACTATATCTCAACAGTGAACTCTTTTATGGACTTGCATGCAGGGATGATCGACGGGTGTTGATGTGCGGTTGTATCTTTTGAAAATTTTAAATTCTCATTTAATTTATGTGTTTTCTTTGTATTTCTATTAATAATCTAATTTGGGATAATTTAAAACGCCTAAATTTCTAATATAATTTCTTAAGTTTACACTCCTAATATAAAACTATACGTCCCTTGCTCACATTTGTACTGGAGGTTACTTACACTTTTCATTATTCTCGAAGTATCAGAAAGATTTGTAAAAAGGATAGGACATGATTGTTATAGACTTCTCAAATATTTGAAAATCTTGAAATGAATTGAAGTTACTCATGTATAACATGTATAAAATAGTTCTACCATATATATGAGGTAATTTGTTAATTAAATGTAGGGTTGTAGGGTGATCAACACTAGACTATATATGTATATTGTTAAGAGCTTTAAAATTTCTATACCAGTGAAGGTGCTCCCTTAAATAAGGATCACTAGGTCCAGGGACATCTGGATCGGTCATGACCTGCAACAAAATAGACACCAGCTCACCAAGGTTTTCATTCTAAAAGGGGAAACAGAAAGAGAACAAAGAACTTATGAAGAAGAAGAAGAAACTGACCAGAGTGAAGAAAGTTCTCAAATCACCACCATGAATCTGAACCCTAGGTTTGGTAGCAACAGTTGAGGGGTAAAACTCTTGGCCATTAAAGACTTGATTGTTGTTGAAAGCGACTGACATTCTAATGCTAGGAATGAAAGAATCAAGAACATCTCCTATAACTCTTCCAACAACGAGAGGTTCTCCAGTTCTTGATGACATCGAAAAGAGGGGCAAGAGAAAGTTCAGTGACACTGGAGGTGGGATTCTTCTATATGATAATGTTGAAGGATGTGATGTAAGTAAGAAAATAAACCCTTTTTATAGCATTTGAAACTCTTCTAGAAAATCCAGTAAGCGACGTAAGTTGTAAAAAGAAATATTGTTCTCTAGAGTTCGAGAAACTCATCTGAAAGACTGTATATAAGTTCTCTAGATGTCTGTCATGTCGAGATAGGCTTTAGATCAGATATTGAAGAGTATAAAGCTTTATAATATATGGGAAATAAAGGAAGAAATAAGTGGAAACAGCTTTGTTTTTTGCAATTCAAGATCCTGCTGTGTTAGTTATATGATTATTTCTCAGTTGGGGGACCCTGGAATTGGTTCTTCATTGGATGGCTTTTTTCATGATGTTCATTCAACACGATTGGATTATAAACAATCTTGGCAAGTTTTCTTCAGTGTGCAAGTTGTAATCTTTTTTTATTCATTTTATAGAACCTTTCCAAAAAAATTATAGATGCACAATTTAATACGAAATTTTACCAGTTTTAGAGATATTCTTTTGGGAGAGAAGCATAAAGAGGACTCCACCATAAATGAGGCAGGGAGTGCAGCACGAGTCCTAAAGCACACAGGTCATTTCAAAGTTATAAACAAATTCAGACCAAGTTCCTAATTTGGCTAAGTTAAACATGGTGAATTTCCCTCAAGTGGGAGCAAAAAAAATTCCCTTTTTCATTTTCTTGGGACACCTATTCGATTCATATTAGTCATTCAACTGATGTATCGATCACAGGACGGTCGCATAATTTTATATTAGAATGATGAACTTTTAAAATTTTAGAAAGGGATGATCTTCAAAAACTCTAGGAGGAAAAACAAATTTTCAATATATATATATATATATAATCTAAAATATATGATAATTTTAAATTTCCAAGGAGTGATTCTCTCATCCGCTCATTGATCCATCCCTGATCACACCCCCAAGTTTCATCTATAGCATTAAAGATTGATTATTTTTGCATTTCCTCTCAAATTTTGATTTTTTAAATAAATTCAAGAATTAAATAATATTCTCAATTATAAAATTGTGATCTTATTATCAATTTGATACTTAAATGATATTGTTAATTCAATTTAATTTTAGACTTTTAAATCATCTACTATGTTACTAAAATAATTTCCGCTATATTGTTAATTTAAAACGTTAGATATGTCACATAAGATAATAATATATTAAATTTCATAAAATATTTAAAATTAAAAAAGGGGTTAAAATTAAAAAAAATCTCAATTTTTTAATCTAATATGTGTATATATTGAGATTTTTTAACATTTTCTAGGTTTTTGACAATTTTTTAATTTAATATATTTTTTTTATAAAAAACTTATTAAAAATTTAAAAAGTTATAAAATATTATAAATTACATTACGTATGAATTTGATCATTAAACTTCAGATAAAATATCAATTTAACATTTGAATTTGATCAAAATCTCTGTCATCGATCATTGCTCACCACCGTCACCGACCACCTTCATCAATCATCGATGAACTTCAAAATTTCAATTAATTTCTTTTTGACATTTTAAACTCGAATTCAATATCAATTTTATTAAAAAAACATCTCGAACACTGCAAATCTAATCTAAAACGTTTTTTTAATTTTCTTTAAAATTAAACCAATGAAATATGACAAATGAAACTTGCTCTCTTAAATCAATCAGCTATTGCAAAATGAAACACAAATATCACTATAAATAAGCATATGAAATATAAAAAGAATCATGATTTAACTTTTAAGGTAAATCAAAGGTAGTATATTAGATGTATAAAATTTGAAATATTTTTTAATGAAATAAATATTAAATTTACATTTAAGATGTCAAAAAGGAATGAACTGAAAATTTAGATCTCAACGATTGTTGATGACGATAACTAACAGTAATCGACAACGATGATGAGTTGCAGTCGACTGCATGAGATTATAGTTAGATTTAAAAATTAAATTGATATTTTATTTAAAAATTTAAAAATTATATTAATTTTTATCTAAAATTCAAAAATGAAAATATTAACTCTTTTTATTGACATATCATATTATCAAAAATCAAATCAATAAAATTTAATGTCTCAACAATTAATTAAAATATTAGTTTTTTTAAAAAATTAATTATCAAAATTGAACAAAAATAATATTTTGGTAGTTGCCAAATTAAAAATCACCAAGAAAAAAACATGTCTCGACTCGATTCCACAAGCCATCATCACTAACTTTGTCAACCTTTGCTTTCCCTCCTCCGCTCCACATGGACCAACAGCCACCTCCTTCCACTGCCCCTGCCACCACTTCTTCTACTGACCCGTCTCAACAGCAACCACAACCACCACTGCCGCCGAAGCCGGAGCAACCGCAAACGCCACAATTTCAACAACAGCCAAGCCAACCCCCTCCCTCCACAACACCCTCAACGCTTCCCAGCCCTAACCTAAACCCGAAACCCCAACAGCCACCTCAGCCGAAGCCAACACTCCCCACTCCTCAGCCCCGACCTGCCGCCGCATTCTCACGTTCCTGGCAACAGCAGCTTTCCCAGCTCACCAATTCATCATCTTCTTCTTCTCCCTCGGTCACATCGACCTCCACGCCAACTCTTTCCTATTCTAGCCCTTCTCCTCCATCTCCTTCGCAACCAGCTCCGTTTTCAGGTTCCTTTGGCCATTCCTTCACCGGAGCTTCCAGTTCCAATGTTTCCCGGGTACGCGCTTGTAAGCTTTTGTTTTCTTTCTAATTACAAGTTTGAAGTTTTTGATGTTAAATTTTTGTTCTTGATTCGATTTTCTTAACAGTCAAGGCCGCCAATGCAAGTAATGGGAATTGGATCACATTCTCAAATGAGGCCACCTGGAATTTCTGCTCAGCATCAACAAAGGCCTCTACAATCATCTCTTAGACCACCTTCTTCGTCAAATAGCCAATCCCCTACTGCCCAAGTTAGTAACCCTGTCAAAAGATTACATATGTTCTTTACTTACTAGTTGGTTTTGTAAAAATCTTGTTTCTTTTTAAATTGCTATAAAATGGCATTGGTAGCGATAGATAACAGCTTCAGCATATTCCAAGACTTAAAAATGTTTTAGAATGTTAACAAACGCCTAAAACATCTCAGCTGAATTTAGGAAATTGTGTTTCTTTTTTAATCTGTGCTTGAATATCCTAGTGGCTGGTTGAATAATCTGTTTTAGTATTTTGTAAAGATGGCTAAAGTGCTAAAATCTGCCATTTCACGAATTATTATCTTTTGTATTATGAATGCTGAGTGTACTTGCTTGTGACTGATTTATATCTCTTAACATTTTGTAGAATTTCCAAGGGCATGGTCCTATGAGAGTGCCAGCTGTTGGTTCTTCAACACCAAGTACATCACAAACTACACAAGTCCCTAATCAGCCGTGGCTACCATCGGGATCACAAGGGAAACCTCCTCTGCCACCTCCTTCGTATAGACCACAGATTAATTCACCATCCTTGCAGCAAAGGTCACATATTGCTCAGCAACATCATTCCTTGTCAACAGTTCCGCAACAAAAGCATGTATCATCTCCACAATTATCACAACCTACATCGCTTCAACCGCAGGAGCATTTCAGGCAACAAATGTCACCTACATCAAGGGCCCTTCAATCTTTACCCCACCAACAAGCTTCGAGAGCCCAGGGTTCTATAAATCAAAAGCCTTTTTCTCTTGCAATGGTACAATCAAGCACGGTGCAGTTGGTGAACCAAAATAAAGCGGCTCTTACAGAAAGTGACGAGTCTGGTGGCAAGATTCTTAGCAAAAGAAGCATTCATGATCTAGTTAATCAGGTGAACTATCTGGAATTCTGGACCTAGCTCTGCATTTTGGATTCTTAGATTACATTTCAGGATCTTAAGATCTTGGCAACTTATTCGATTATCATCCAAAACATTGCATTGTAAAAATGAAAAAAAAAATCTAGCATCTGATAACATATAAAGAAGTGATTAAATGTCACTAAAAATGTACGTGTACTGTATATAGAAGGTTAGAGGTACGGAACAATGTCCTTAAATCTGTTGTGTTATACTCATTAATTGCTCTAAATGCCCTTCATATATTTGGTTTATAGTAATGGGATTTTGTATTATACCATTTCAACATTTGTATAGTATTAATTTTTCTCTATGGAGGACCAATATACAAATTTGTGATCATCTTAGTGATTCAGGGATGTTCAAAAAAAAAAAACATTTATGTTTCAGAATATCATTTTTTTTTGGCATCATTGAATGCTCTCTGTGTGGCAGGTCTTTAGCATTTCATTTTCTCAAATGCTGACTACAGAGCCATGGATTTCCATGCTTCTCTATCTTAAAAATATAACTTGTTTTATTTCTATGCAGATAGATCCATCTGAGAAGTTGGATCCTGAAGTTGAAGATATTCTTGTGGATATTGCAGAAGACTTTGTGGATTCTGTGAGTTGGAACTTTTTATTCAAAGAACAATTTTTATTTTTTATTTGTGTGTGTATACTTGGGGTTGGGCAGATCTCAAGATACACAAGGACTCTTCAACTAGGACGTTTTTAAGATCATGTTTATTAAAATGTTGACTAAAACATTAAATTTTGAAATGGTAGTACATGTGGTAGTCCACATGTACTTCATACTGACATAGAACTGGCTTATATGCCACGTCAACTTATAATTAAAATTATATAAAATACTCAAAATTTTATAAAAAGAATATTAAAAGATTAAAAAAAGTCAATGAAGTATACATGGACTGGGATTCCATGTCAATGATGTTAAAATTTAATGTTTTAGTCGGTATTTACATTTAAAAAACAGCAAATCGACTTTTTTTGAAGGGTTTAAAGCCAAATTTCTCTCTTTTTGAAACTTTGAAGGCCAAATTTAGCTAAAAAGGCCAAAATGACAAAAAATGTAAACATTGTGGGCGAAATTTATCATTATGCCTTTTGATTTTTTCCTTGAAAGAAAAATGCAAACTCAACCTAAATTTTTTTCTTCATGTCTTTTACTGTTTATCATACCAACCAACATGGTGGATCAACTAATTGAGTTTAAACTTAGATTTGGTTGAATTCTTTGTACTGTCTTCAAAATCTTAAGAACAATGAGTCCCATTGCATATCTGAAATGGGACCTGAGCTTCGTATGGAGAGCAAAACTATGTTGTATGAGAAGTTTTATACTCTATTTGCTCTATTTAATTAGGGTGTTTTGATTTTCCTTTTTCCTCTGTTGTTTCCTTGGTTTTTGTCTCACTGCATTTTACGTGGGTTTTGGCGAACTTAATATTGCAATTTCTGCTTCACTCTCTAACCTTTCCCATGATATGACCATAATCCAATTCGTTTTCCTATTCTTTCCATTTTTTTATTCAACAGATCACAACATTTGGCTGCTCACTGGCTAAGCATAGAAAATCAGATACATTGGAAGCAAAAGACATTCTGCTACATCTTGGTCAGTCATTTTGTAAAATTTTCTACTTTGGTTTGTTTTTCGCCTTGAGTATCTAGTACTTCAACTTTTATTGTTTTATGGCTTGGTACAGAAAGAAACTGGAATATGACTCTACCCGGATTTATCGGTGATGAGATTAAGACTTATAGAAAACCGGTACATTATTCTCTTTTATCTATAAAATTGATGTTCGATGCACAATTGTTTACGAAGGGAATCAAATTTGCTCTTACTGCTTTATGGTTTTATACTTGTTTTGTTTTTTGCAGCTTACGAATGAGGTTCACAAAGAGCGGCTAGCAGCTGTAAGTGCCTATTTCTCATTTCATCGCAATTATAAACTAATATGTATTTGTCTTTTGTATTTATACATATGTATGTGTGTGAAGGGAGAGATTCTATGCCCTTGACATTTTGTTAAGCTTTTCCATTGAACTTTCTGGTGCCTGTTTCTTGTTGGCAGATAAAGAAATCAATCTTAGTTAGTGATGCGCCCAGTGGGAAGCACTTTGTCGGCCCGGTTGGTGTAAATGCAAAGGGTAACCTTGGAAAAGCAGCAGCTAATATCTTGGGCTCTCCCAATGTAAAAAACCGAGAAGTGACATGAGGCTCCTCTCCTGACATTGTTGAACATCTGAAACTATTTTGCTTTAAAGGTATGGGAACTATTGGTGCGGGCCATTTACGGGGTTGTGTTAGTCATTGTGCTATATCATAGCCGGAGATGCTCCGGAGTCCTATGCATCCTGCATTTTTCTTTGCGAGTAATGTAAAGAGCTAGTACTATCTTGCTCCCCGATGGTTGGATTTGAATTGCATGTAGTTTCACGAGCCATGAGGATGGAGTGATTATCATGTGCCTGGTTGCCTATGAACTAAATCAAACTTTTACTTGATGTAGATGCAGGATCAGGATGAATTGCTGGAGAAGAATTATCACATAAAATTGATGGGCATGACTTGATTTGCTTGATCTGGGGTGTTGAAAAAGTTGTATTTGTACTTGATCTAATTCCTCCACATCGGAGCTAAGTCGAGGGTTTTGTAAACTTTAACTAGTTGGTACACTACAACTCCCATATGTTGATGTTTATGTGCTGCAGAAGAAGATAATTGTAGGAATTTGATAAACAAAACTAACCTTGTTTTTATTGTATGATGTAAAACCAATTTCTGGAAAAATGAAAGAATCTTAGGAAGCTAAGCCCAAACCCCACTTTCTGTGATTTTTTTATTTCCATTATATATTCTTAGGACAAACCACTTTTACGCTTAATATCAACAACTTAAAATATTTTTAATTATGCCAACAATTTGTAGAGCATGTGGTTAAAAGTGATGAGCAATGGAAACAGGTTCTAGTCTGTAAAAATAAATATGGCCCGAATTTATACCCCTCGACGTCCATATCCTCGAAGATGTGCCCTTGGGTATGGAGCGGTATCATCAAATTGCTTTTTAATCCGGATTCCATCGGGACATGCTTCAGAAATAAGATAAAGCTTCAAGTTGGTGATGGAGCCAATATTCAGTTTTGGTCCGACACTTGGGTGGAAAACTTACCTCTGAACCGACGTTTTCCCCGTATTTATGCTTTGGCGATCGACAAAACAGGAACAATATCTAAGTTTGGCTGCAAGTCTGGACAATTTTGGTTATGGAAAATCCGACTTAGAAGTTTGTTTGATTGGTAACGGAATCAGCGGGCCGAATTTTTAAATATAATATCCAATTTTATGGGTTCGGGTTTAGATAGGGTTTAGAATGGGAAGGGTCGAATGATGGTGCCTTTTCCGTAAAAAACGGCGATGGTGGCGTTCAGGTCGGCAATTTAGGGGTGTAAACGAGCTGAGTCGAGCTCGAGTATTGTTGAGCTCGACTCGAACTCTAAAACTTTAAAAGTAAGCTCAGCTCGAACTCGAAACATAATATTAAAACTTGACTCGAACTCAAAAAGGCTCGAACTCAAAAAATATCAAGAGCTCGATTGAAGCTCGAGACTCAAGCTCGATTGAAGCTCGATTTTGAGCTCGGTTCAAGCTCGACAGGCAAGTACATTTTAACGCTCATAGTTGCCTCTTATTTATTGAGTCCAGTTTCCACTCCCTCCTCTTTCTTCTCGATATTTCTGTTTCACCACGATTCTCCACCCTGAACACTGGTGGGGCTGAAAAATCTCACTCGATTGCTTCTTTTTCATCCAGTTTCCCCCTCACCAAAAAAAACCCCTCTTATTATCCACTCAAAATTAATCAAAAAAAACCCCTATATTATTATACAAGAATTGAAGGTGAAAACCTTCTTTGGCTTCTGGTTTTGATCCCACTTTAACTGTCTACTGAAATGCCTCACGCGGCTACCGAAGCCCAAGTTGAGGATGGCGGCTCTGCTTCTAAGCCATAGCGCATCATCAAACTAATCAAAACTACCGACGATAGCGACAAAAAGGTCCTCTCTTTTAGCTTCTTCAATTGCTTTTGGTCGCATTTATCTGCATTCCTACTAAAACAACGTTTTGATTTTTCTAGGTTCTTCGATTTTTTTCGTAAGATTATTCCATTTGCATAATACCAGAGACGTTGTAGCAATTGTTTAATGCTTCATTCCTTTTTGTGAAGGATTTTTGGGTTCATAAGAACTAAAATTTTCTATTCCTAATTAGAGCTGAGGCATAATTATGCTATTAACATTTGAAAACAAGAACTGGGAAATGTTGAATTTTGTTTAGTGCTTGGAAGGGTTTCCCCTTTTAGTTGAAACGCCATCTTTCCATTATAATGACATTATTTAATTTATGTCCTGATCATTTATAGGGTACAAACAGGAGAGTTAAAGATATTAAGCTTTGTGTTCCAATTGCTTATGGAACTATTGCTTTTTATCTTGGTCGAAAGGCTAGTGAGTAAGTATGTTTTTCCATGATATACGTATCCCCTTGTTTTGTGATTGAACAATACTAAATAGATATCTCCTTCAATTAGTTCGCAGTCACATAAGTGGATTGTTTATGTGCGTGGGGAGACAAATGAAGATCTTGGAGCAGTGATAAAGCATGTTGTGTTTCAACTTCATCTCAGTTTCAATAACCCGACGTAGTTTTAAGCAGTATCAAAACGGCAGCGCTTCGAGGACTAGGTGGTAGCCCGTGTTTTAGAAATAGAGTATTAGCATTTTAGGACCTGTTATATTTGTAATCTTCTGATTTCGTCATTAATCAAGGTTTACGTTTTTATGATTCGGGTTAATTTATTTTTATTTTATGTGTTGATCACCGTTTGTTTTGATAATGAACCTATTGATTGATTTGACCAAGTGTGATTTATTAGTTTATTTACATATAAATCCTTGTTAATTTCATTTTGCATAATTTGTATGTTACCTTCATATGCATAACTTAACCCCTATCACATAATCAGATCAAGAGTTTAGGGTTTAGAGTTTATGACTTAGATTTTAGGGTTTAGGGTTTAGGGTTTATGATTTATGGTTTAGGGTTTAGGGTTTATGATTTATGGTTTATGGTTTAGAGTTTAGGGTTTAAGTTTAAGGTTTAAGTTTAGGCGGTAATCTAACATGTGCTTAATTAAATGGACTTTTATTTTTTTTATAATATACAATGTAACGATTGGACTTAGGCTGCTTAATTAAAAAATTAAAATTTGAGGGTAGTTGTATTATAAAATTTTTAATATATTTTTAAAATTTTATAATTATCAATAATTTATTTTTAATTTTTTTATAATGTAATTTTAAAAAATCTAAAATTATAATATAACATTTTTTCGAGCTGCTCACTAGTTTTTCGAGTCGAATATCGAGTAGTTCGTTTCGGCTCGTTAAGAATTCGAGTCGAGCTCGAGTCGAGTCCATTCGATCCGAATATTTATCGAGCTTTGATAGAGTCGATCTCGAGTAACTCGCAATCTGTCTCGTCTCATTTACCGCTCTAGGTCGGATAGTCACCCAAACATTAATTGGGAGGATTTTGTGTGGACGGGGTTGACACCTCCTCGTGTGGAAACGTTTATTTGGGCAGTGATGCATCGTCGTTTGCCGGTCAAAGTGGATTTATTAAAAAGGGGGGTCGCTTCGATTTTAGACGTTAAATGTTGCTTCTGTTCGTTGGAACCTAAATCGACACAACATCTTTTTTCTCTTGCTCAGTCTCGCGGAAGGTATGGATGCATTTTATTGGTTTATGGAGGTTCAATCGTGAGCCTAAGTTGTTCTTTGAAGCCTGGTTCGAATTGAGAGGTAAAGATAAGAAGAGCACTATTTGGAGATTGTTGTCGTTGGCAATCTGTCATGCACAGAGGAGAAGAGATAAGACTCCGAGCAAGAAAAATTGGAGAAACCAGAGAAAGGGTTAGGGATTTAGAATTGGGAATGGACTTGACACGTTCTACAGCCCACTAAGGATAGGAACCAATTTGCTTATTTGTGCAGGTTATTATACTCAGTACAACAAGGACGGTCAGATTTAGGGTAACTATGGTACACTGTAATTATATAAAACTATGTACTAGAGGAAGAGAAAGCCATGCTTTGATTGAATCTCTTCTTTTCTCTCTTTGATTTTATTCTCTTATTTTTTCGTCTAATTTTCTTTTGGGTAAAGTATAGTAATGGTCACTGAACATTTCTGAAGCTTGCATTTAGGTACCCCAACTTTTAAAACTTACAATACAGTCCCCCAACATTTATTCCGTTTGCAATATGGTCCCCTAACTTAAATCACTGTTAGAAAATTAGGGTAAATTATATAAACGGTCATTGAACTTTTCAGCCACTTGAATTTAGGTCCCCAACTTTTAAAACTTGCAAAACAGTCCCCCAATAATTTTATTTTCTTATTAAATATAGATGTATAGAAAAATATAAATGATTCAATTTATATTTAAATGTATGAATCATTTATATTTTTTATATATTTTATTTTTCTTGTATAAACTAGTATTTAAAATATGTTTATATTTTAATCAAAATATTTCAATATACGAATAAAAATATATTTATATAAATGTATATTTATATTTAGATGTATAAATAAAAAAATATATTCATATATTAATGTATGAATCATTTATATTTTTTGAATATTTTATTTTTAATAAGAAATTAAAATTATTAATTATATTAGAAATACTCAACTTAAGATTATATATATAATCATGAATTATAAATATGAAAAATATAATTATTAAATTTAGTTTAAAAATATATAAATCTTAAATTTATTCTTTTAAAATATTGTATCAACTAATATTTAAAAAATATATTAAATCTATCAAACAATTTATCAAATATAATATTTTTTATTGTAAAAAATATAATATTTTCCCATCATTTATTGCTTTCAAATTTTTTGCCGAAGTTCAAATCTCATTATTTCCATTTTCCATTATATTCTTTTTTTTTTTCTGGCATTGGTCATACTATTAGTATATGTATTATTGTATATCTCTTAACACAAACGATGGTGTTAGCTTAGTGGCTCCACCCTGTATCTTTTATTTGCGTGACTCAGGTTTGAGTTTGCCCAAGACCCAAATTTTACTTCTTTGTAACTTAATTTTCTTCTAATTAGGTGATGACATGTGTCACCAATAACATATATCATGATCATGTGTTAACACATGTCAGATCCTGGTTAAATGATTAATTTATTAAATTTTATTTAATTTATGACCAAATTGATAGCATATATAAATAATTAGGTGGTGACATGTGTCACCAATGACACGTGTCATGATCATGTGCTAACACATGTCAGATCCTAATTAAATGATTAATTTATTAAATTCTATTTAATTTAGGACCAAATTGATTATATAAATAATAAAGACTGAATGTATATAATGTCAATTCCTTTAACTGCCACTTCGTCATTTGTATCAATTGGTAACGACTAGTGGCTTAGTTGAAACAGTTAAATAATTATGTTGTATGATTGATAAATTTAAAAGATCGATGACAAAAGTAAAAAGGGCTAGATAGTTAAGTTGTCAACCTAGTAGTTTACACTTTTATTTATACGTCAAAAATAACATTTTATAAATTTAAAATTCGAATTATTTTCAACCTCTTCTATATCCTAACTACTTTTTTTAATTAAAAAATTTCTTCAACAGATAAGAATTATACTATTATATTTATATAAAAAATACGTATCACATTAAATAAGATGAAATTAAATAATAATAAATCTGACATAATTGAATTTAATTGAATTATTTTGGAATTTAGGGTTTAGAATGAAATTGAATTACTTTGGAAATTGGGGTTTAGAATGAAATTGAGGACTGTTTTGCAAGTTTTAAAAGTTGGGAGACCTAAATTCAAGTGTCTGAAAAGTTCAATAACCTTTTATATAATTTACCCTAATTTCTAACGGTGGTTTAAGTTGGGGGACCATATTGCAAACGGAATAAATGTTGGGGGACTGTATTGCAAGTTTTTAAAGTTGGGGGACCTAAATGCAAGCTTCAGAAATGTTCAGTGACCATTACTATACTTTACCCTTTTCTTTTCTAATCACTAGGGTGGTCATTGTGGCTGTTTCGCAATGAGATTATTTTCAATAATAAGAGGTCCAATTTTCTTCAGCTTTTGCTTCTCATTCTGTACAGAGTTGCTTGGTGGTGGTTTAAGGCCAAATTCCCTGCTACAAAGGTGTCGTTGGATGAATTTATTGCAGATATCGCTCGAGTGGACGCATGTATTGTACGTCAAATCCCTTCTCCTGTTTGTATTTCTTGGTGTCCTCCATCTTCGGGGTGGATTAAATTGAATGTTGATGGAGCGTGGTCTGCCGAGAGGAAGTTGGGGGAATTGGGGGGCTGTTTAGGGATGAACTCGGTCACCAGCTCCACTCTTTTTCTGCTCGTGTTGGTGAAGAGGACATTGCTATAATAGAATTCCTTGCTATTAAGCATGAGGATGTTTAGGGAGTCAAGCTGGTTTTTGAAATATAAGTTAATGGTCGAAAGTGATGCGGCTTCCGTTCTAAGTGGAATCTATGATACTTCAAAGGCTCCAACGTTCATGCTGGTTGACTTGCGTCTGTTGGCAGATTTTATAATCAAAGATTGGCTTGCTTTTCGATATATTAACAGATGTATCAGGCGGATGGTCTAGCCAAAGCTGCTCTAAAGTGTGACAAAGTGCAAGGGTGTTTTTTGGCCTAGCCGTAGCTGCCTTAAAGTGAGTCAAAGTTCAAGGGTGTTTGTTAACTTCTCTGTGTCCAGTGCTGTTGATAGATCTCTTCGAAATCGGGTTCATATAGGGTGGATGATCACCACCTAGCTTCAGCTCTTTTACCCGTTTCGTTAGTGGAGGTCTCAGAGTTCTTGATTGTTGATTTAATGTGTAGAAATATCTGTAGCTGCGGGTTATTAAACTGTTTGATCCGGATTTTTGGTTTGTAGTTGGATTCTATATGTATGATTTTGTAGCAGGTTTTGATCCTTTCTTTGGTATGGAATAAATAACTTGCGCACACTTTTCTTCTTTCCGGTGGTAGATGTTTAATCTTTGATTAATATTCCATTACTAAGGAGATTTTTAATGAGGCTCCGCTTTTGTTCCAAAAAAAAATCTCTCCCTTCTTCTCTAGATTATGGGTTCAATACTCACTAAGAACAAAATTCTCCTTCCTCCTCCTCTAAGTAGGAATTTTTCAAAAAATAAAACTAATTATATATATAGTTAAAATTTTATTTTACTTATGAGATATAGTGTTCAAATCTCATTAAAAGATATAGAGTTAATTACATCATATATTTTCAAAGTATGACTCTATTATACCAAACTATACATATATACTAATCAAATTATATGTTTGAAAAAAAAATTTAGGTTAAACTATGGTTGAAACTAATTATATATTTGGATGAATTTGGAGATGAAATTGGAATATTCAGAAGTTTTGGGAACCAATTTAGAAAGAGGGTCATAGTTTAGGGATGAAATTAGAATGTTCAAAAGATTAAGGATTAATTTAGAATGAGAGTGATAGTTTGAGGATGAAACTGGAATATCCAACAATTTAAGGACTACTTTAAAATG